TATGAAGCATATTTTTGCACCCAACAATGCTAACATTGTGTGGTACCCCATGGCACCCTTGAAAGCATCTTAAGGCACCCCAAGGTGCCACCCCAGGCAGCCTAGCTTGAGAATCATTGTTTTAGGAAAATATAATTGTCCTTTTATTAGAGGAAAAGCTATTTTTGCTCATGTTCCATTTAAAGTGGCCGAATGAGTCTCTCCCTTTGAGTGTACAGAGGGAGAGAGGAAGAACCCTGTGGTGTGTCAGATTTGTCTCCTTTCTTGATCTGTCTTTAAAAAGCTCTCTTATTCTAGGGTAAAAGAGGTATGAGGGACAGAAGGGGCGCTGACTCGCAGAGACGCAGCAGAGCACAGTGTAAGCCTAAGCTCCACCTTTCTTTTACAGAATTCTCTTGTTTTTCATGCCCCATCCGCATGAATACACTCAGCTTACAAATGTTTAAAAAAACTGTTAGTAGGTACAAGTACTGCATTCACCCCTGATTCCTTTGCCAGTATAATTGCATTACAGTCACATTTTCCTATTTTGTTGTGTTTTTTCTCTCTCCTGTTGTTGTGTAAATAACCTGGATATCAAGAGAAGCTCACTGTAACATAAAAAGTAGCAAAACAAAGTAGCACAATGTCCATAATAGTGGAGGGTTTTTTCCTTTAATCTTTTTCAGTTACAGAAACCATACTTGGTATGCCCAGTGGTATGTAAAAATTGTTTGACATTGTTTCACTGACTTCTTTCAAGTAGATTTCAGTTCACACACACAGTGACTAGAGATAAATATCCTATACCATGTATTTGATTGGTTGTCTTTATGGTCTGAATGGCCCTGTGGGCCTAGTCAGTTTTATGGTGGCCCCTGCAGAGTCTCTTGCCTTTCCCTGTTGTTTATCAGGGCCTTCATATAACCACATGGCACAAACACATTTGAAAAAGGGAAGCTTTAATGTAAAGGCAAAAAAATCCTGTCAAAGATATGTAGGAACAGACCTGAAAGTTACTCTTATTTCTTCAATGAAAAAACACTAGATTTCAAGTTGGCTTAGTTAATTTAAATGTAATAAGTTGGTTACCTCAGTCCACTTGCTAGTGGGGGGGCATGTGCCCACATCATGTAAACTATCACTTAGAGGTATCAGATGGTTTCCAGAAGGGAGAGTCTCACTGTAGTCCTACAGCTGGATGGGTTGTGAAAACTTGCCTATTTTCTTCATCTGTAGAGGAATGAAAGTTATTTGCAAAGCATCTTGGTGAAATACAATGTCACTGCCCAGGCTCAACCTGCTTTCATCTCCCATGTTCTCAAACCTCCCACCAGAACAATATTTGCTCATACCAGTTTTTTTTCAGAAGTGTTCTTTGCATTTCCTTTTGGAGAATCTGATTTTGGCTCTTCTCTCCATTTAGCTCCATCAGATATGTCCACTTTTATTTATGATCCTGAAACTGGGAACTACTATGACCCAATAGCTGGATTATATTATGATCCTAAGACTCAGGTGAGTATGAGAGAAGAGGGGGGAAGTTTACACCTTCCTGGTTCTAGAGCAGGACTTGTGAACATGCCCCCCCGGAGACTTTTTTTCCACATTTGGGTGTCATCATAATACAGCGTGAAGAAGAGTTGGGGAACAATACCTATTTCTAGGTCTCATCCTCGTCATATTAAAAAATTCTAACTTCTTAGGAAACTTCAAAATGACTGACTTGCTGGGAGGAGAGATTTGTAACTGGCTGGTTGCATTCTTTTCTTCCTGAAGTACTACCATAGAGATTTGGCTCTCTTTTGTTTACTGGTGTATCATTGAGTATCCTTTCTGGGAGGTACTAGAGACTGGGAACATAACAGTGCCAATGCAGCATGCTGAACAATGAAAGTAAAGCTTTACATGGTCTCTTGGCTTACTGCACCTTATGACAGTAGATGGAAAGTTACTGTAATAAGGAGGAATCTATAATATTAACTACAACTCTGCTGGAAAAGAGCTGCCCAGAGCACTTCTACAGCACTGTGGTCACACCCCCTTCACGTCAAGAGTTAGCTATTTTGCCCAGTGGGTTTCTTAGCTCTGCTGTGTTTGCCCATTCAAGTCTATAGTATCACTCCCACTACTCATCCTTGTGCTTTCTGCCACAATGCCATTTGCTCTTGCAGTCTTTCTCTTTCATCTCATTATCCTAGTTGTTGAATGCTGTCACTTGACTGCACTGGCTAGCAGCGTTCTTCACTAACTTTGTTTCAAATTCTTCTTTCAGAAACAAGTCATAGTGAACCGAGAAGAACCCACATCACCTCCAAACAGCAGGGGAAGGCGTCATGGAAGCCAAGAAAGGACAACTGAAAGGAAAGAGCCATCCAGTCGGGATAGCAGGGACAGAAAGGAGAAAGGAAAAAGTACTTCAGTTAAGGTAAATCTTTCTCTCTCAATGGGGAGAGTAGTTTTAGAACATATAGAAAAGGACAGGAGGGACATCATGAGAGCAGAAGAGTCATTATAGGGTGAAGCTCAACCTGGCTAAACCTAACTCATCCTGGGAGCCACAATTAGTTTTCAAGTGTTACCCTTTTTATGGCTAAGAGGCAGAGAAGGAAGATGTTGAGATTCTTCCCTGTTGTAATAAGAGTGTTTGTTCACACCTGCCAGCTGCAGGATTGTAGCAGAAGTCTTATTGTGCATAGCAGGGTAGGTTGACTGCTGACAAAGAGGGTTTTGCTACTGCAAAGGAGTGAGTGCACTTCGACTTTCTGCCGGCAAAACTTTGCAGTATAGAGTAGGCCTGAGGTAGCAACTGCGATCCACTTCGTATGAGCAGATTTGGGCAGGATAATGTTTTATACAGTACTTTGCACAACAAGTTTTGAACAAGTTTTGAATCTCTCTGGCTTAGCTAAAAAAAAATACTAACAGTGGGTCATAGGATGGAATGGAAATGTTTTAATGCGAGTATGACCAAAAACTTCTGTTGTCCTTTCTCATTCTTCACAGTACATCCTGTAAAAGGAAGGTGGGACCTGGTAGAGGTAACTGTTCCTGAAAGCAGGTTCCTTAGCTCTGTTACTGATTAGCATAGTGGATTACGAAGAAATCTTAACTTGCTCAGTTTTGGCTTGGGAAGTCGTACAGTCTTCTGTGGGACCAGAAGTGCTTGGATTCTAACCTTCGTCTTGTTTTGCCCCTTATTCTCAGCCTGCCTTGTAGCACTGTTGGAACATGCAGTCTCCTGAGAGGTCACTGCAAAGGGAATATCCAGCAGAAGCAGCTCAACAAACTGTGTACACAGGTTTCGTGGGGAACTGCTACTGCTGCCACCACCACAGACAGTGCTGTTTCTCTGCTGGCTCCTTAGTTTTGCTTGATTGTCTAATTTTGTTTCAGTGTATTCTGAGCCACTCTGTGGAGACACCTTTTGATTCCCATATTGCAGTAGGTTTAACTCCTCATCTTGGATGTTTCAGAATGAATCTGGAGATGAGAAGTCCCCTGCAGAAGATGTCTTTAAAAAACCATTACCACCCATGGTGAAAAAGGAAGAGAGTTCAACCCCGGTAAGACATTAGACTTTGTAAGGAGCAAAGGGCCTTCATGTTATCACTGGATAAGTAATGCAGAAGCGTTCAGCTAGATTCTCTTCCTAGAGTACTGAACTTAATCTGCTGTGGAGCTTTGCTGAGACAAGCCTTGCTGCAGCTGGCAAGAGCTGACTTAGTCACTGGAGAGACAAGTGCAGTTAGGGATCCCTTTGTTCGAATACCTGAACCCTTTGGCTTCATATACATTTGCAAGTGAAAGGCATTGGATGATTCGGTCTCAGCACTTCCTTAACTTGACACAGATTTACACCTTAGCTCTGTGATGACTCCACCCTCAAATATTCACTAGCCTTGAGAGACTGTAAAAGTGGTCTGTTCAGGGATTTTTATTCCAAACTTTTTTACAAGATTCTAGAATAGTAGAATTCTTCAGTGAATATCTAAGAATAAAATCCTCACTTGAGTAAGCCTCATGCTAAAAGTCTAACCCTGCCTTCCCCATCTTTAAGGTCTAGACTTTCTGTCACTTTGTATACCAAAGAGCATGACACTGCTGCTGCTGTTAACAGAGTCCAAAAGAACCTTCTCATCACACTGCAGTGAAAACTGCACACTTTTGTACCTACCTCTTTTCTTAAGGGCTGTTTACAAATGACTAGCTTGACTGCCATCCCCTTTTTCTATAGTGCCCATGCTGCTAAAATGTCACCTGCTAGCTTTCCTGTCAGACTTAAACAGTGAGAATGTGGGGTGGGGGAGAAATCCCATATGGCACCTACCCCCACATGGTGAAGTCAGCTTTGATATTGTCAACTGGCAACCTTTTCTTCTGTTCTCTCTGCAGCCCAAGGTGGTGAACCCTCTGATAGGCCTTCTAGGAGAGTATGGAGGAGACAGTGACAATGAGGAGGAAGAAGAGGAGCAGCCACAAATGCAGCAACCACAGCCTCACCATCCTCCAGTGCCACGGGAAGAGCATCCTCGGAAGGCTGAGGGCAATGAGGAGAAGCTGACTGACTGGAATAAGTTGGCTTGTTTGCTGTGCAGGAGGCAGTTCCCTAATAAAGAAGTGCTGATCAAGCATCAGCAGCTCTCTAACCTGCACAAGGTACAGGGGGACTGCATGGCTGGGGGCTGCTCATGCAGTCAACAGCCTTGTGATTATTGGGGGAGAGAAAAAAATTGGATGGGAAGAGCTGATTTTGATGCTGGTTCGGTTTTAGAAGAGGTGTCTCGCAAAGCTTTCTGTTTAAAGTTGTCTACTGCAGGGCATGTATTGCAGCTTTTTAACTTAGCTGAGTTGTGGTATATGTTGCTCAACCCAGCAAGCATGCATAACTTCACCATATGAGGCACCATATTGGGACTGAAATCTAACAGTATTCCAGCCATGGGTTTCTTTGTAGTGGAAAACAGAGCACTGGAACAAAGCAGTGCTGAGCAAATGTATTGGAACATAGCATGCAGGTGAACTGAAGTTGTCTGTACTCTGCCTATGCTGGCTCAGCTTTGGCACTTGGTATTTGTAGGGTAGCAACAGAAAGCTAGGGCTAAGCAGCAATAATTGTATCCATCTGGATCTGTGCTCCTGGCTGGTTCTCTGATGCTGTGGTTTAAGATATGCTGGCTGATGTGCATTCCTGGTGGTACAATACTCAGATTACTATGTACAAAGCAACACTAACCACCCAAACCTTACAGGTGCTGTTCTGTGAAATGTAGCAATAGTTCTGAGCTAGGAGGACCCCATACAGGAGCAATGGTTGGAGGGGGAGGCAGACAGGTTTGGGCTACAGAGCTATATAGAGGAAGAAGTATGCACAGCATGTGTCTCATTCTAGGTAGTATCAGATAGCTCACTTCCAAAAAGCACCTGTTTTTCATGCTGTTGAAAACAGGAAAGAATTAAAAGAAGTCCTAAAATGTGTAGGAAGAGAAAGCAGAAATTTCTTTCTAATTGAAGGCCAGTGTCAATCTGGGAATGTTCAAACAGGTGTAAAAGTAGAATCCTGGACAGCCTGGTGGATTGTGACATCTCACACAAGCAGATAGGACAAGAAGTCAAAGGTCAAGTTCTTTAGTGCATCCAGTCAATAGTCAGACCCATCCAGACTGAAAGAACACTGGCTTTTCACCGCCTTCTCTCTTGGTGACTTCTGCTTTTCTTCCAGCAAAATCTGGAGATCCACATGAAGATCAAAAGATCTGAGCGGGAGTTGGCATATTTGGAGAAGAGAGAGCGAGAGGTAGGACTTTTATATAAAAGAGAGCATGCTTTGATTTGGTACTGTCCACCTGTGTCCCCATAGAGCAGGGGTGGGCAGTTATTTGGGCTGGAGGGTCACTTAGGGAGTTTTGGTGAGCTGTTGCACGTTAAGTCAGCACCTCTCGCCCCGGCCTGCCAATCTTACCATAACTCCCTCAGTAGCAGATTACTAGATTGATCTGGAGCAGGTAAGTAAGGTCTCCATGGAGACTGGATTGGAACCCCTGCTGGCAGAGCATGCTCAGCAGAGCTGATGGGATGGGGCTGTCCTGTGATCCTGGACCCAGCCATCTGTCCCACTCCCAGCCATCTCTTGCCACCTGCCCACAGCCCTGTCCCATCCCATCCCATCCACCCAGCCAAGCATGCCCTGCCCACAGGGGTCCCAGGCCAGTTTCCATAAAGATCCCAGCTGCCTGCTCTGTCTGGTGCCCTTGGTGGTGGGTGCAGGGTGGACAGTCCAGGGTGCCTGGGCAGCAGATTCATGTCCAGTGGTGGCAGCAACATTGGCAGTGGCCACTGGGAAATGGAGTCCAGCCACTGCACCACCCCAGCCCTGCTGCATGCCCGGGGCAGTGGGACTGGCCATATGCATACCTGGGCTAGGTGGAACTGAGGGACCTGCTGCAAACCAGATCTTACCCACCCCTGCTGTAGAATCAGGAGTGGAGCCTACTGTATAAATGAACTACTAATCCAAAGCTAGGCCCTATTGCATGTATTTACATGTTGAATGTAGCTTGTGAATCAAATGTAACCCATGGAGTTTTTAAACTGTGGTGTTTGGTTCAGTCAGAAGTAAACAGCAACAACAAACAAACAAAAACTTGGAAGAACTTGGGGGAAGGTAGTTTTGACAAGTCAAATTTGTCTGCTTTTCCCCTTGAACAGCTCTGGACATGGCCCTGGTATTTACTGTCCTTGCCCAACAAAGCTTCCAATGTGTGAGTCAAGGTTGTGGCTGTATTAAAAAGGACATGTAAAATTGGTGTAGCTCCTAAGTAGCTAGCCAGCTGCCATCATGCCCCACCATGTTGAGGTAGATATCCCTGCCAGAAGGTACTGCAGTATTTCAGTGTTCTAGAGCCAGCAAAGCTGGTATTCACTGGAGAAGCCTGAAAATCTGGCTGCAGATCTTCATGCCAGCTGGAAAGAATATGATTTATGGGAACTTCCTGGCTTTTCAGTTTCTGAAGCATGGTATTTTTCATTATGAGTAGAAAATGGCCATCAGCAGATACCAAGATCTCTTCTGGTGGGTGAGCATCTCTGCTGCCAGCTGTAATTGCCATGCATGAGTTAGTGTGAGAGGCCCAAGGCAACAGGAGCTACAGCTGGGCTTTGACCTTGGAGAAGGGCTAATGAGGGGCCTGATTGTTGTACCATATTTGTTTTTATATCAGATGCACCTTCCCCCCAAAATTAGCCATCCAAAATTGGTGGGTATTAGTATGGGTGTGTTGTGTGTGTTAAGTGATGAAGCTGATTTCTGTGTCCACATGGAGATGCTGTAATGGCTGCCAGGGGCTGTGTTACCTTCCCCATCAAGCAGGAGAGGTAGAGTCTGCTACTCAGCTAAAAGCTATGGGTTTAACCTTCCCACAGCTGCTGCCAATTCAAATTGGCATTCAGCCATGGTGAGCTTATGCTATGGTGAGCATTCAGCTGTGGTGAACCTAGGCTGTGGTATGGAAGACTAGACAAGTCCTTTTCTTCATTCTGCTTTCCCCAAAGAAGGTGCATGTCCTAGTTTGTGGGATGTGATATGTGAGGAAAATATGGCCTTTTGTCTTTCTGTACATGGGATGCTGGTTGGTTCCCTCTGCACTGAGGGGACAGCTCCATCTGCTCCCTGGAGAATCCCAGGAAATTGGTCCAATCTTGGGCTGCTTTTGTTAGACACATACAGTGCCCTGAGCGGTGAGATTAGGCTGTGAGCTGCTGGTGCCCAGTAGGTGTGTTCTAGCTTCCCCTTTTAACCAGCTTAATCAAGGTTTCTTCAAAATCTTCCCTAGGACTGGCCCTAACTACCTGGGGCATCTATCTACCTTCTGTGGTGGAGGAGATTGGTGTGTATGTGAGAGCACTCCCACAGCACTAGGCTATTTGTGGAAATCACTGCCACTAAAGAGGCCTGCAGATACTTTCAACTCTCCTAGATGGTGGTTCGTGAAGTGTTGTTCAGCCTTTCTCTGCTAGTCTTGCCTGCATCCCAGCTATTGGGATTTCTAACCAGTCAGTGGAGTTCAAGGCAAGGTGACTTATTTCCCCTTCTGGAGTGACCTAGAGGGCCACATGGTTGTACTTTGACTGATTTACCATAGTCCTGTGTGCAGCCATGGCCCATAACTGAACCTGTTTTGGCCCAGTCTTCTCATCCCAGCCCTCTATATAGGAGAACATCCCAGAAAGCATTGAAATCCTCAGAATGAAATGAAATTGGGATACTTTCAACTTACTGAGAAATAAGTCCATGGTTGTAGCCATGTTGGTCTAAGGACAGAGGCAGACAAGGTTTTTTTGGGTGAATCTGATCTCTTTTATTACATCAACTTAAGATGGTCTAATAAAAGATATCAGAGTGTTGTGACAGACTGATTGGATAGAGGGATTTCCAAATAGACCTGCTTAGGTGGAATTGGTGGTCTGAGCAGGGGAGGGCGGGCAGGCCACAGTGATGGAGAAGTCTCTCATGCAGGATGATGACTCATTTGCAGTTTCTCTCCTAACTGTCTTCTTTCCAACATAAAGGGGAAGAGTAAGGAAAAGGGAAATGATCGAAGAGAGAGATTCCAGCGGCTGGACTCTCCTGAGAGAAAAAGACCGAAATATGATCAGAATTCTGAGAGGTAAGACATGCTTTTCCCCCCTCTCAAGTCGTTTTGGACTCCTCAAAGCTGATGTTGTGCATAACATATTGCATTAACTGGAAGAAAATGAGGCCAACTAATGGCCAGCTAGGAGGAACCATGAAGTTAAGGGTCTCACAGCCTTAACGTGTACAGCACCGTAGAATCCTCGTGGCTCGTTAACTCTCTCATCCCCTCTCAACTGTTCTTGTCATGCCTCAACTCCAGATGTGTAACAGGTCCCTGAAGGGCCCTTTAGTGATTCTTCCAAAGTACTGTGTAGGGTTGGGGTTAGGGATTTGGAACTAGGAGCAGATCATTTAAAAAAGAAAGGAGGAGCCCAGCTATAAGTTAATGTCTACAGTAGTGAGAGCCAGATACCTTAAGCATGTGAGGATTCTCACGGGGCACTCCATCTCTGTCTTCCAGCTAGCTCTCTCCTGTGGCACACCCATCCCTTCTCTGTGGTGTGGAACCACGGGAAGTGAGAAGAGTTTGTACATCTCTGCTCTGCTGCTGCATTGAGTCAGACACTCAAGTGCTCTGCAGATCACTTGACTGTGCTGGGGGAGGCCCTGCAGTACAGGCATACCTCAGAGATATTG